TACAAACATGAAGCTGAAAATTAACAGAATGTGTTTTCTTTAAATCTCAACTCTCAAATAGCCCTTTGGAGAAACAAGGATCGGTCAAAATATCCTACATTTCTAAAAATGTCCTCACTTTGTCAGTTTAATTGACTTGTCCTCATCATGCACCAAGAACAAGAACACACACACAGATGCCTGAAAGAGCTGAGGAGTGAAGCAACGACAGAAAGAGAGGTGGGGCAATGAGTTCACACACTCCCATACACACAATCCCATACACACACACAATTGCATCTCTACTCCTCCACTCTCTGTGTTTAGGCTGCATTGAAACTTCAGCCAATAGAATGCCTCTGTTCTTGTGATGTCGACCAATCAGAACGCTGCCTGCTGACACACCCACAAGAGGGTGCGTGAGGCGCTGCTGAGGTAGGATGGAAAATGTGTGTGCCAGAGTATGTGAGGATGTGTGTGTGTGTTCGTGTTCGTGTGTGTTCGTGTTCGTGTGTGTGTCAGTCAGAGGAAGCTCCCAGCAGGTTCTGATGTTTTGCTGATGTTGGTCCTTTGGGAGAAGCAGAGAGGCGGCCGAACCCCTGACTGCTGCTCTCACCGTGAAACAGGAACACACACTCAGTTCATGTCAGCAAAGATTTGATTACACGTGGGCACACAGGAATTCAAGACACACACACACACGCCAGCTCTTTGAGGGCAGTCATGAACGGTCAGCATGGAAAATGTGTCTCCCGCGGTCAGCTCTGCAGCAGAGGAAGCTGAACTTTCCTCCATTTTATCACAACCAGCAGCTTCATTACTGGGCTGCCAAAATGGAGGCCTGATGGAGTCCAGTGATGATTAAAGGGGCAGATCACACAAACTGAACCCAGGCACAACAGCACAGGAAACACAAACATGAGAGCAGCTCATTAAGGTGAGCGAGCAGCTTCTTCAGGCAGTGAAAGCAGCAGCAGACGAGGAGATGGAGGAGGAATATCAACAAGGAGGAATCAGTTGAATATCCGGCTGTTCTTCACTGTTTGTAGTGGAAAAGTAAAGCTCTCTTATTAAAATGTAACCCATGTTATCTTGAGGGCTTCCTGTCAGGATGTCAGGTGAAGTAGGCTGGTATACAAAAATAATACATGGGTCAAACAAACACGTTTTTCACAAAGGAAACCGCTGACTGTATCGGGAAGAAAAAAGGTTACAGTGACTTATTTTAAGTACATTTTTTATCAACGTATAATTTACGTATGAACCTAGAGCAAGTAGTTGGTTAGCTTAGCTTAGCATAAAGAGTGGAAACATCTAGCAGGACTGTTAGCAAAGTTAACAAATTCCATTTAACACCCCCTCCTAAGCTCACTAACTAAAATGCTATATGTTTTAGTCAATTTGTACAATTCCAGTAGTTATGCTAAGCTAACACATCTGACATTAGCCTAATACGACTGGTGTCAATCTTCTCATCTGACTATTGGCAAGAAAGTAAATAAGCGCTTATTCCAAAATGTTAAATCTTTAAGTATGCAACTGCTGCTCGACTGCTAATTAATGACTTAAGAGAACACAACCTGCCAAAAAAAGTGGGACGACAGGATAAAGTGCAGTATTTTAGCATCAAGAGAGACTCACATAACACCAAAGGTACAGTTCCATCTGTTTATTGATTAACTATAAAATATTGAGTTACTAAAACAATTTGAAAGAAACACTGATAAACGTGGTTGCTGTCTGTAAAAAAAAAAAAAAAAAAAACCTTACACATACAGTATAGGGTGACAGAATATATCATGATTCAGATTCATCTCTAAAATGTATTCATTTTTTGCATTTTTACAAGATTAGACATGTGTACAAAGTATATTCTGATAGCTTTTTACTCCACTCGACAGTGAAGGATCATTTACAAAACGTAGAGGATTTTTTTAATATTTATTTTCAAAATAATCTTTTTTGTAGTCTGTAACAGGACGATAACGATACTGAAGGAACAGCAGACGAAGAACCAGCCTCCAGTCCACCTCTCTCTCTCTCTCTCTCTCTCTCTCTTTCTCTCTTATATCTCTCTCTCTCTCTCTCTCTCTCTCTCTCTCTCTCTAGCAGCTAGCTCCCTGCCTTTTAGCAGTATTGCTTGCGAGGTGTGGACGATTGTTCAAAGAGGGGAAGCAAAAGGGGGAAACTAATGACAAAAACATGCAAAAAGAAATATATATACAAGAATTACAAAAATAAATCACAGCAAAAACAAACATTTTTAAAGAAAAATGTGATAAAAAGAACCTTTTTACAAAGATAGTCTCTGAAAACAAATGAAAATGAAGGCGATAAGTGGGCAATAAGTGTTCATGTGTGTGTTGGACCCTGTTTGAAGGCCTAAGGCTGGGCTTTGGATGGGGATAGGGGGCGTAAATAGAGATTGGAAGGCAATAACACACACTTTTAAGGTGTGTAAGATTGTGTATCTTATGAAACACACACAGGGGAAAAAAAGTGCTTTAGCAGCTCGAGGGGTAAACAAACATTCATAATTTGTTCACTCTGCAAACACCGGCGCGACCTGTGTACCCATTACTGCTCAGATAAACCAGAGCAGATCCATTTTGTCCGACTGTCACTCAAGATGTTTTTGTCTGAAGAAATGTGTGTGTCAGCCTGAAGGAGAAGACGGGGGGATTTAGCAGATAGGATTTTTTGTCTGCCATCAATCAATTGAGTAATCTCAGAAAACACTACACTCTGTACCTTGGTAAATCTCTTTCAATACTAGCAGCAAATGAACTTTTCCTTTACTGAAACGCTTCTATATTGGCAGACGTCTTTTTTCTTTATAACCTGGGATTTTAGTCACATTAACAACATTAACATCTTGGGACGTCACGCAAGCCTTCACAGAGTAAAACATGATATAGACTATGATAAAACAACCAAGAGATCTCAAAAGAGTAGAACATATTAAAACTATTGAATATCAACAAGACAATCTTCAATCTCTGCGGCGAAGCAGAGAGAGGGCAACGTGGCACGAGAAAAATCAACATGATAATCACAGATATATACTACGCATACAGTATGCAATATACTGTATATAGATCTGATACAAACTATACACAATAGTGTAACAAAGTGGGTTAACAGCTCAGTAAACGGAGGGTTGTTTGGACTTTAAATCGCAAAGAAGAAAGGCATTTTGGGGGAAAACGCCAATCTGACCAATCAGCAGTCTTGCTTTGATGTTGGGGGCGGGACCTAAAGAGATTTGGCGAATCATCATAAGGCCTGGGAGAGAAAAAGGCCGCCCAAATGCTCACAACCCTGAGCACGACATTCAACAGTCTCACCCTAAAAAAACGGTTAAACTAGGCCCATAGAAAAATATTCATAAGCAGCTAAAAGAGGGGAGGAAATGTTTGTTTATCTTTATGTACGATCGGGGGGGGGGTTAGGTAAATACTTTAGGAAAACATACAAGACTCCCAGTCATTAAAAAGTGCACTCATTTCAAACGTGATTGCTCAGAGGGTCGAAATGTGATCGAACAGAAGCAGGAAGTAAAAAGATATTGCTAAGACAGGACATTTAGAGGTTGAAAACACTGCAGCCAAGTCGAGATGATGCCAAAGTGTGGAACTGTAAAAATTGAATTATGTTCATGATGGTATCACTGCTGGCAGCCTCATCAGAGATATGACCTTGATGCGGCTCGGACTGCAATGCTTACAACCTTGAAGAACAGCTTTAAAAAAAAGTTTTTAAAAAAAAGGATGAATTCACCCGACACTGTTCGGTCACTTTCTGATCAAGTGTTTGCATCGTTGCCCATTTTTCCTACGTTTCTTCAGAATTCCAGTTTTGGATATCCCCCGAAACTGCACACACA